CTGCCACGAAAGCCATGGGCGGATTCCGTAGCACGGAAGCCTCAACCCAAAGTACCTGCACCCCATGCCTGCAATAACCCTAAACCCCTACACCCCCAAACCCTAAACCCTAAACCCTAAACCCCCAAGCCCCCAAAACCCTAAACCCCAAAGCCCAGGCTCCAGAGGGAGCAACACGAGCAGTTTCTGCAGCCTGCCGTGCGGAGTCCGGAGCACCGCCACTGCACCGTCTACGAAGCTTGGGATCTCTTTGAGAAGGGACTTGTCAGGGTTTGGGCTTGCAAGATTGATATGAGCTGCAATATAAGATGGGTAGGGTTTAGGGTTTAGGGTTTAGGGTTTAGGGTGTTTTTAGAGAGTGCCGTGCAAGGGTTTCAACATCCACGGAGGGTTGGGTAGGAGGATTGCCTGTCAGAGAGGCACCCTGTGTGTTTGGTTGAGGGTTGCGTAGGATGCAGACGGATCACTTACGGAGCGTTTTGATGTTGGGAGGCGATGCCTCTCCGGGCAAGAATGGCCCACACCCTAGACTAGACTTTGCAAGTCCTGAACCCCAAACCCTAAACCTGCTTAGATCATGAAATCCCGCTTGGGCTCCCGTGTCTCCTGTCGCGTTCGATGGTTTCGCTGAGGAGCAGTGGCGCAAGAGCTGGCTTGGGAGCCATGTGGAACCTGGGTTGCCTTTCAGAAGCTTTGCTAGCCCCACAAGCTTGAGACCCAAATCTGGGGAAGATTCTGGACGAGCAAATCTAACTGCGACAGGTTTTCTTTGAGCTTGAATCTTGTGCGAAACATTGAGCCCTGACCCTAAACGCCAATGTGGCGTCTTAATCCCTGAAGCCCCAACTCATGAAACATATAGCCCCAAGTCCTGAGCCTATCCTGCATACTCGACAGCCAGGCCAGGCGTGTCAGCACCATAGAGCAACTGCGAGACCTCTATGGTGTAACACTATGTGCCCTTGAAACCGAAAGGCCACAACCCTACACTGACACGCTAGAAACCCCAGGCCCACCACCCTAATTTTAAACCCTAAAAAGCCCTACACCCAGGAGAGACGCCGAAGTAGACCCTACACCCCAAAGTCTCATCAATCCTAAGCCCCTCTCAAGCCGTGAAGCCCCAAGTCTCTTCAGGAGATGCCTCTCGGCTCGACGCCCTACGGAGCCAACGTGGGCACCTGGGAGGCCCGGCATCGAGCGAGAGAGAGAGAGAGAGAATAGTATATATATATATAGTATATATAGTATATATAGTATATATAGTCTTACACATATGTATATAGTAAATAGAGACAGAGAGAGAGAGAGAGAGAGAGGCAAGGAGCCGCATTTGGGGATCGAGCCCAGAGCCCTGAAACTTGGACTCTTGCGAGGCGTGCTTGGACCTCTGCCGGGACACCACGGGCTGCGAGCAAGTGGCTTCGCGACGTGCACGAAGACCTGAGAAACCAAAAACCCCAAGGCCCGCCGACAATTTTCCAAAGGCCCGTTGGCCTTGAACCCTAGGCCTTGCCAAAAACCCTGCTAAACGTAGGGGAATCTCCCGTGATCATTGAAGTGAGCCTTCGTGGTCCCGAGGGATGTTGACTGAAGCTCCACCACCAGCCGCCCTAAGCCCCCGTAAGCCCTGAGCGCAAGCGGCTCAGGTCTACCGGGATGGGTCCTGCTACGGCATGAGTGAGTCGTCCGACGAGGACTGTTTCGTTTAGAGCTTGACACTGAAGGTCTATAGGGGTAGTTCTCCAAATTCGGGACCCTTTTAGGGCCCCTTTGACAAGGGTGCCGAGCTGTTTTGGGGGGCAAAAAAGAGACCCAACTCAGAACTCTGGGGAACTACTCATCTGGACGAGGGTTTCAAGGCGTACCTTGGGTTCAGAGTCCAAGGTTTAAGGTTCAAGATCTGAGGGTTAGAATAGGGGTTTGGGGCATTATACTATAATCATAATCAGGAACCCCCGAAATACTACTGGTAATTAGTTAAGGGTTTAGCACGTAGCCAGTGTCGCAGAACTCTGCTCTGTGGAGCTCCTGGTGTCGGGGTTGTAACTACAGGGAGTCGGTTTAGGGGGATTTGGTTTAGGGGGAGGTGTTTACAGTTTTTGGGTTTGGAGTTTTTGGGTTTAGGCTTTATTTGGGGTGTAGGGTTTATGGGTTCAGGGTTTAAAGCTTTTTGGTTTGGGGGTTGAGAATCAAGAGCCCGAACTTCGAGGAGCTCCCACACAGGGGACCGCGCTTCGCAGACCTGTGCGGTATCCCACGTTTCCTGAAACTTTCATGGGTAGTTCTCTAAATTAGGGTCCCTTTTTGGGGTCCCCAAAGTAGTGCGGCACCCTTAGTAAAAAGGACCCTGGATGGGACCCTAATTTAGAGAACTACCCACATCGAAAGAGGTCGAGCGAACCAAAACCCCCCCCAATTCGACACCATCCTAACCCCTAAACCCTAAACCCTAAACCCTAAACCCTAAACCCTAAAATGAGCTCGGAGCACCATGGCCTGAAGCCTTCGAAGCCACACAGTTGAACGGCCAAAGCCCTGAAGAACTAAAGCCGAAGCCCTAAGCCTGAGCCCGACTACATCCTAACACCGAAAGTTCTGTAGACCCTAAAGCCGTATACATCCCAAACTCCACAGTCCCAAGAAGACTCTGAAAGGCCGTAAGTTTAGGGTTTAGGGTTTTTGGTTTAGGGCCCTGAAGGGCCCTACGGCGGGGAGTAGCGCCTTCAGAAGTGCTGGCCAGGACCAGGATGGGCTGGGCGGCAGCAACGAGCACTACACCTCCGCCCACTGCACCTCTGCGCCTCCCGGACCCAATGGACTCCCAGAGCCCCCGAGGCCTTCCTTAAGAATTTAGGGTTTAGGGTTGAGGGTTTAGGGTTTAGGGTTTCTGGACCTTAAAAGTATGTGTACCTTTTTTTGATTTATCAGGGTCTTACAGGTGTTTGTACGGAAGGTGCCTGATTATTTTGTAAAGATTGTTCGTTGACTGAGCGGGTATTTGGCTCTCTGGGTTCTCCCGCGTCAACCCCCAGCCCGAATAGCCACCAATGATTATCCGGTCCCACTATAATTATGCGATGAACTACCCTCCCAAGCTTGTTCTAGAAATTGAAGCCCTGCCCACATTATGCACGAAAGGATGTCAAGGCTTCAGCCTTCAACGCCCTGCGTCCATCCGAACCTCTCATGGTGTTTCAGGGCTTGGGAATAGGGCTTTGCGGGTTATCGAAGAGGATCCTGCTTGAGACTGTTTTCAGAAGCTTTACTGGGCCAGCGCTAGATTATGGATTCAGACATGTAGGGAGTTTGGCTTCAGACGTCTATGGTTTACGGCAGTTTACGGGAACCTCCAGGAACACCATCGAGATGTGCGCGGCTGCAGCCTTGAACCTGCTCTTGGGCAGCCATTGGGATTTCTGGGGGTCTGTGGGTCTAAAGGATAAAAAGGAAACTTAAGGGTCCATGCGCCGCTGTTTTTTCTACTTTGGCCCACAAGTACCTCCAGAGGAACCTGTTGGAGGCTTGAGTACATACTCTTTTGATACAGACCTCAGGAGAAAGGGGTGCGCGTGATAACAGCAATGGACGATAACCATCCCGGCTGAAGGAACGCGAATTCTTCCAAGAACGGTCATGCCCCAAGAGATCAGGCATTCAACGCTCAATCCCACAGAAGACAACCTTGCACTGGTGATTCGGCAAGCCCTCTTGTTCAGCCCCGAAGCTTCGACGCCCTACGCCGTAAACCCCCAAGCCCTGAAACCAAAACACCTTAAAACTTAAAACCTCAAGCCAGACACCCTAAAGTCCCAAAACGTCGAAAGCCCAAAACCCTAAAGCCCGAACCCGACTTCAAAAAACAAAAAAGCCGGTCTAAACCCCGGCAAGGCCCTCTAGGAATTCCTTCAAACACCCCCCTAAACCTAAACCCTAAACCCTAAACCCTAAACCCTACACCCAACCGAGGTACACGGACGTGGAAATCCAGGGCTTCGCCTTGCCGAAGGCGCTGGAGGTGTCCCTGGACTCCACGTGGCTGGAGGAGGGGGCGTGTTTTTTTCTTTAGTCTTTTGCTTGAGGGGTTTTAGGATTTTTGTTGGGGTCTGGAGGTAGCTGTTTTTTGAAGGGGTTGTTGTGGTATCAGAGGTTTTCCGGGTTTCTGGGGGGTCCTTCTAAGGCTCTAGGGGGTTTTGGGTTTTTTAAGGGTGTTTAGAGCTTTAGGGTGTAAAGGCTTTGAGGGTTTCAGGGGTCTGTGGAGTTGGGGACTTCTGGTTTAAAGTTTAGGGTTGGGTGCAGAGTTAAAGGTTTAGGGCTTGGCCTTGGGCTTTGAGTTTAGAGTGTCCAGGTCTCTCGGTTCAAGGCATCGTATCCGATGGCACGAAGCCAACTGCATGGGCACCAGGAGCATCTGACTTCCCACCTTGCCAGACTCTTAATTTTGCATACCCCCGAAGCCTAACTCGGTTCCCGAGGTTAGTGTAGCTGTTTAGCTCACGCAGGCAGCGGCATTGCAACGCTGGAGCTGTAAGTCACGAGGTGCCACTGGTGGGAAGGGGCCCGAAGCCACAAAGCCGAGACCTTGGGCCCGAAGCCTCGGCGAAGGATGCCCTGGAAGACGCCATTCTGAAGGGGGCGCCTGGGCGCGAACCTGAAGAGCCTTGTGTCACCCCTGTTGAAGTTGGAATGAAGGCGACGAAGGCCCCGAACCTCCAAACAGCTGAAGGGCTACTGAGCTAAACCCTAAACCCT